TGCAAGGAACAGGGTATTCCTACAAATGAACTAAAGGGAAGATAGGGAGCAGGGTGGTCCTATTGATGAACTAAGGGGACTGCATGGTTCGCTATAGGTTAAGGGGAAATAGAGTTCAGGGAACAGGGAATTCCTATTGATGTTCTACTGGGTAAGGGAAACAATGGTCAGGGGAACAAGGGATGTCTATTGATGTTCTAGTGGGTACGGGGAACAATGGTTAGGGAAACAGGGATCTGCTAACGATGTTCTACAGGGTTATCAAAGTTAGGAAAAATAAAGATAAAAATGTTTGTTCGGGATGCAAAGGCTGGTGTGTCCGAAGGAGTCGGAAGAAGGATCTCATGTAGGAGCAAAGTGTCCAGGTGTCTTGAAAGGGCGTCTGCAGCGGTCTTGATCAGGTCTTTGGAGTAGGTGGTAGAAGCGGTCTTCAGCAGCTGCAATAGGTAGAAGTCCAAGAAGCGTAGTAGTAGTTCGAGTCTCAAAGTCCAAGTGCTAGGGTGCGTCCGGTACACGAACTGCAATGAGGTCTGATCTGGAAGCAGGGAAGTCGCAGACTGATGCAAAGATCCATGTCACAAGTTGCTGCTCCAGTRAGTCCRCGAGTCRGGATGCCGGCCAATGAAACAGCATGGTGGCCAAACCAGCTGCATAATCTCCATGAACAGTGAGGCAGCAGGCCATCGTCCTCGTGCGCTTGCCATTAGATCCTTTATCGCCGGCGTCACGCAAGTTCACAAGCAGTGGACAAGAGAGACAAGGTAGAGAGGACAGATGGGACAAGGCTAGGCGAGGGTAAGGGCAAATCAGACATCAGGAATGAGGATCAAGGGAAGGGTGGACTGGGTTCAAGGGTGTGTGTAGAGGAGGGTTGCAAGGGTTTAGCGGGGGTTTATGCCATAGTGATATAGGTATCTAGGACGTAGGATTAGCACGATCATAGGCGCGGACAAGTTTCATGGCGTTCTTAAGATTAGAGAGAGGTTCCCATGTAGATTCTTCGTCGGGGTATCCGGTCCATTTGACTTTGTATTCAGTGATTGGTTCCGGATGATCAGATACCTGAGTGGTTCGTCGGCCGATGATGGTTTCGACAATGAATTCAGGGCCTGTGGGTAGCATGATTGGTGGAGGTCTAGGATATGGGCGGTCGGCAAACTGGAGCGGGGATTCTTGGTATTCTTTTAGGTACTCGACATGGAAGACTGGGTGGACACGACTCATGTCAGGGGGAAGTTGGAGTTTGTAGTTGACGGGGGAGGTTTGTTCAATGATGGGGAAGGGACCGAGCCACTTGTTCGAGAGTTCCTTAGACAAGCCCTGTTCGGGCTCAAAGCGTTTGGCAGAAAGCCAGACTTTCTCCCCTACTTTGAATGACACTTTCACGTCTGTGTTTGTTAGTCTTGTTGGCTTGTTGTTCTTGTGTTCTTTCAAGGGCTTCGGTTGCCTCTCTGAGGAGTCTGTTCATTGTTGCTACCCATTCATTGAGAAAAGGGCAAGGGGTGGAGGGGCTGAGCTGCGAGGGAAGCAAGAAATCAGAGGGCAAGCGGGGATGGTAGCCAAGGTCGAGGTAGAAAGGGGACATGCCAGTGGAGGGGCAGACAGCGTTGTTGTAGGCAATCTCGGCGGCTGTGAGCAACTGATCCCAATCGTGTTGGTGTGGATGACAGTACTGTCGCAGGATTCTTTGGAGTGTATCGTTCATCTTCTCTGTTTGTCCATCGGTCTGTAGGTGGAATGCAGTGTTATACTTGAGCGTGGTTCCATAGGCCGTGAAGAGATGTTTCCAGAATTGTAAGAGGAAGCGAGGATCACGGTCACTGATGATGTTCTCGGGGAGGCCGTGATGCCGAGCGAAGAAGAGTGTGGCGACGTCTTTGGCAATGTGCGAAGTCGTGCAAGGGACGAAGTGGGCACGTTTGGTCAAGCGGCAGACAATGACGTAGATGCAATCATGCCCGCGGTCGGTCTTGGGGAGGCCGCACACGAAGTCCATGGAGATGGACTGCCACCGGTGAGTTGGGATGGGCAATGATTGGAGCTTGCCGGGTTTGGCCCGGTTCGAGGGGTTGACAGCTTGACACGCGGGGCACGAACGAATGTATGCCTTAACGTCGGCGAGTAGGGAAGGCCAGTAGAAGTAGCGGGAGATTGTGTCGAAGGTTTTTTGGAAACCGAGATGTCCTGCGGTCTTGGCGTTGTGGTGCTCGGCCAAGAGCTGAGTACGGAGGCCTCGTGCGTCGGGGATGCAAAGTCGGCGAGTGCCTTTGGTATCGATGTAGAGGAGATTGTTGTGGAGGGAGTAGTCCGATACTGGGTCAAGATCGCGGAGTTTGTTGTAAATGGTGGCGAAATGTGAGCAGGAGAGATAGCCTTGGGTGTATCGATGATGAAGTGATGGAAGGAGTTGAATAGGAGTCATGGCGGCGTAGACTTTCTCGGGGGGCTTGTGGTCGGTTCGTCGCGAGAGGGCATCTGCAACGCGGTTGCTTTTGCCGGGGGTATGGCAAATGGTGAATGTGAACTGGGCAAGGAAGTCTAGCCAGCGGGCTTGGCGTGGAGTGATATCTTTCTTGGAGAGGATGGAGGAGACGATGGTGTTGTCAGTGCGGATGGTGAAGTATTGYCCGTCGAGGTACGGGCGCCAGACTGTGAGGGCGTGAATCAGGGCGAGGAGTTCCTTCTCATTGGAGGGGTAATTCATCTCCGCGGGAAGAAGCTTCTTGCTTGCGAAGGTGATGGGGTATTCGCCAGGTGGAGCCTCGGTGTGAGTGGGCGAGTCCTTGATGGAGGGGGTCTCGACGGATAGTACGGCTCCGATGGCGAAGTCAGAGGCGTTGGTGGTGACATAGAAATGGCGAGTGGGGTCGGCGATCTTGAGGACAGGGGTCGTGGTGATGGTTTGCTTGAGTAAGTCGTAAGCGTGTTCGCGGCGATCATTCCAATGGAAAGGCTCGTCCTTGCGGGTGAGTTCGTGGAGAGGGTAAGAGATCTCGGAAAAGTTGTGAATGAACAGGCGGTAATAGTTGGCAAGGCCAAGGAAGGAACGGAGTTGGAGGAGGGTCTTGGGTGGGGGGTACTCGACGAGGGCTGTGACCTTCGAGGGGTCCATACGGATGCCTTCAGCGGAGACAATATGGCCRAGGTATTCGACGCTCGAAGCGGCAAACGCACATTTGCTGAGCTTGGCGTAAATTTTTTGCTCGCGGAGGATCGAGAGAACTTGGCGGAGGTGCTGAAGGTGGGACTCGAAGGTGGGGCTGAAGACAAGGATGTCATCAAGGTAGACGACGACACAGACTTCGAGGAGGTTGCGGAAGATGTGGTTCATGGTAGATTGAAAGGTAGCGGGGGCATTGGTGAGTCCGAAGGGCATCACGAGAAACTCGTAGTGCCCGAACCGAGAGCGGAAGGCGGTCTTGTGGGTGTCCTCCTCGTGGATACGGATCTGGTGGAAGCCACTGCGAAGGTCGATCTTGGTAAAGTACTTAGCTCCACGGAGACGATCAAGGAGCT